GTATGTCAAAGTGTTTCAGAAGGAATAAAACACTTATACATGTGTTGGCTTTTATAAGGAAAATATGTGTTATTGTCTCACCACTATCTGACTTATTTGATTTTTGATTTAAAGATAAATCAACTGGCCCACCATCACTTAGGAATACATTGGTGCTCTTGGTTTGGGTAAATTGGAAATGAGATACGAAGACAATTGAATATATAAATTCACTCTGTGAAAATACTAACCTTCAAGGAGTTACATCTAAACCACTGATGTAATGACTAATTACATCATATTTTCGGTGATAATTAATCCAATTATATAAGTTGTAACAAAAATATCATCCCATTCTCCTTTTGAGCTACTTAGTGAATATAGGCTTTACTACACAAAATCAGCAGCGTTCATATAAATTTTTCATTAATTATAAAAGTTATATTTCTTGTATAAGGAACAGAATTAATAAATAACCTATTTCAACAATGAATGATTAATTTTTACCTTCCTTGTCTTTAAGAAAACCTTTTTGTGTTTGCTGACTATGAAAAGAAAGAAAATCCTTCCATGTCAGTTGTTCAGGTTTATATAAGACCTAATTGCCTCATGCACTATAATTTTGCCACCAGTTTACAATTAGCATGCATTTCTCATGCATGAGTTGACCCAATTACATAACAAATTCTGCCTTTGGGGATTTCTCCTGCCTGCCTGTCTCCTGTCCACCATACAACTCAATTTCACACCGTCAGCAGCCTGAACATGGCCACAGTCAGTCTCTGTCAAAATGATTTATTTAAATTACAAACAGAGACCAGTTCCCTAGATAATCGTTCCTACCCTCATACTCACCCTTACACTCTACCTAACTTTGAAGCAAATCTTTTAACAGTCCATAGACACTGCTAATCAATTATTAGGCAATGTTTACCTCCAATAATCTAATATTTTTGAAGCTAACTCATAAAATCGCAGGGAACAAAATCAGCAATATCCACATGAGCTTATTAATGGGAATATAATGTATTTTACATTCTAAAAAGTCAATGAAAAATTATGCAGCTGTAACAAAAAATTAAAAATGATTACATTATATTATCAAATTACAGACTCCTTTTCCCCAGTACTATTTTATAAAAGGCTTCAATCTTTACTTTTCTTTACAGCTAGTATGTATACAGCTAGTAAGTATTCCTTTACAGTTAGTTAAATTGAAGATAGGAATAAAAGGCAGGCCTTGGTGAAATAGGATAAATAACCAAAAATTGCAGATATTAGCAGAATAAGAGAAAGAACATAGCCAAGCAAAAATACTATTGTCATTTGGGTCACTGAACTGAGTAAAGGGGGCTGTAAAGATTCCCAATGAAGCCAAAATACATACACACACACACACACACACACAATCTTTTCCTCTGTGAGCCAAAGACAGACACAAATCTTGACAAATCACATAATGGTACACTTACTCTTTCAGTCAGTCCATAAAATATAGGATTTTGTCATCTTGGTTTTTCCCTTCCCTTTCATGATATTTCTCCACTACCTGAAATAAATTACAAAATAAACATCTAGGTTTTTATCTTCCATACAAAGATTGCAAAAGTCTCTTGGGGTTAGACTTTACCATTTTATTTCGCAATTTATCCACACACTGTCTCAACTAATTGAAAGGGCAGCTAACATTAGTGTATAAACAGGGAGAATGAAACACATCAATAATCTCTCCAAGGCTAGGCCAAGTCCCTTAGATGCCTGGAGGAGATTCTGCTCTGCTCTTCTGCTGCAGGTAATCTGAACACACATCTTATAAAATTGGACGTGGTAAACACCTGAATTAGAAAGGCATTACAATGACACACACAAGCTAAAGCTATAAGGACACCAGAAAAAAAAGGTTCCTAAAATGTTTTAAAGCATAGTATTCCTCAATTCATGTTTATACAGCATTCATTAAGAATGTTTTCCTAAAGTATCACCAAGAAACATAGAAATGCACTAGGGTATTCCCCTCATTTGTAAATTTATGCCTTAGAACTCATGGGGGAGAGGCTGTTCAACATTATCTAGAAATGCATGAAAAAAAAATACTTCTCCATTTTAGAAATCAGTTCTACTTCTTTCTACTCATTCTTATATTCTGACATCCTACCTCTTTTCTTATTCTGCATCTTATTTTCTTATTCTACAGCTATACTAAGTAGGTAATAGCACAGAAAAATTTTAAATTGCAGCATTTTATAAATCTCCATGTTCAATACATTGTCATTATAGATCCAAAAAGAAAGAAGCTGGGGCTAACCCCTTTCATTACACACAATTTCAAATTTACAGTCATGTTCTATCCCACATCCCAGTAATATATGCAGGCTGAGGAGGCATTTCCAACTCATTTCAATGAGAGTAGCTGAAAAGATTTCATAACATTGACATAGACCCAAGCAATCAAAAATGACCATTCATCCATAACATATTGCCCAAAGTACCTAGGCATTGTCATTAAATATACTGTTTTATGTCTTTCTTTGGTACAAAAGGGGTTAGAAAAGGGGTAGTTTAGAAAGCACTACATAATATTGAAAGAGAAACTAAAAACAAAGAAGAATGTGAAGCAATAAGGGTGGCCAAGATGCTGATTTGGTTAACCACCTATATCAACCTATGTTAAACTTGGGGCTTCAATCTCTTGTCCCTCATAATTCTCATGAGGCAATCACTCCATCCCACCATCTCCAACAGGAAGATTCTGAGCTCTCCAGTCTGACATTTCTCCTCTCAAAACAGACACAATCCAGTCTACCATCAACAAAATCTGTCTGGACAGGGTCAATGTATTTATTTATGTCTGGGTTTATCTGAAATTAATATAGAAAACTAGGCTAGCCAAGGTACCCCTTTCAGGTTAACCCAAGTTTCTTATTGAAAAAAGATCTTTGAGTAATATGGAAAAGCATGTGAGGTCACAGAAAAAGTTCATGATGGCTCAACCTTATAAATGAATAATAAATTCATTAGACTTCAGAACAGTTCCCTCTCTTCAAGAGTAAATCCCTAACAGTAATATTATAAAATCTATATTTTTATGCCTATTTAAATACAAATTTGTCTCAGTTTTTAAAAACCACTTATAAGACTTACATGGTGGCTAACATTAAAACAACTATGAAAAAGAAAATTTTCAGATGTTTTCTAAATTATAAGCTTTTTAAAAAATAGCATTATCTAATCTAATTTGTGCTTATAGCTATGTATATAAATATAGATTTATACATACCTGTGGTGTAAGGGGTTTTGCTTAATTAAGAATGGATCTGCAAACAGCCTCTGGTATTGAATAAAATGTATATTCCTGCTAATGATAAAGGTTGATGAAATGACCATTTCTTTGCTTATTAAACATGAATATTGAGTTAATTTGAATGTAAATTAAAAGGCTTACCTGTGAATCAATTGCAATCCTTATGTTAGCTGTCCTGTGGATATCTTAAGTAGAAACGTCTAGTTCTTTGTGAAATATATTTCTGTGATAGTTGAAGATCTATGATATAACTTTGTTTTGTGCAACTTTTATATTTTTATAATAGGTCTCCAAACACAATCCCAAAAAAGAAACATTAATAAATGTAACTTCCAGCAAAATATATCACTGATATTTTTTAAAGTAAAAAGAATACAGCTTTGATTTAAGGAAAGAAGGAAGAAGAAAGATGAGAGTACTCTTCTGGTAAGCTGTCGGGATGAGCAAAAAAAAAAATAAAGAAGAAAGCTATGAATTCTTAAAGTTCAACCCTTTTTCTTCAAAGAGAAGAAGTCCCTCCTAGGATAAATTGTCCATTTACAGATTAAACAATGGATAACTCTAAGGGAATATGGCAAAACAAAAGGTTTACTCCATCTCCTCTCATTTCCTAAACATCAAGGAATTCATATTGAAGTTTTGACAACATTCTCAATTTATGTCCCATAATTCTACCTACAAAATACCCTAACATATGTGTTCATGTATACAGAATGATAATGATTAAGTATCAGTGAGTTTAAAACCATCTGCTAATTAAACATACCCTGAAAACAAAGAAGACTGAAGTATTTAACAGTGACTGTACAAACAACAAATATAGACCCCAAGAAAAAAGGGTGTGACTCTTCCATATGTGCTCGACTTTTATATAACATCCACAGTGGTTGATTTTCACTCATATTTCCTTTGGATACCTAATATAGAACATACTTCTCTGGGGAAAAAAATTATCTTGACACATTTCACATAATACCTTGGAATAAATTATAGCTATGAATTGCAAAAATTAAGAACCATTTATCCACCTTTATTAAATACTGAATTAACACTTTTAGTCCCCACTGGGCTTTTGAAATTCTACTAGTCTCAGTTTTTTTCAAAAATAAAATATTACTGTACAAGATGCAGCTTTCAAAGCCAATGCAATTTTATATAAATATTCATTTCAAAAATTAGGTGTGATATGTCATTTCAATAAATAAGAACAAAATTTCATATACACAGATTTAAAAGATATGAGATGTATTGATGTCTGATTTTATCTGCTGATGTTGATTCTTATGCACAGCAAAAAATTATCTCCCAGGTTTTTTTAGTTTAGCTATTTTTAAGTCCTATTTTGGAAAAAAAATCAAAAGCTGAGAACCATTTAAAATGAAATAAGATGCTAATTTACTATAACTTAATAACAGTGCTATCTCCGAATAAACAATACATTCAGTTAAATTGATTTACTTGTAAATGTGTCTAATAAATTAATTGAATCAATTAAATGTGTATGCAGACATATAACCACTGCTATTAAAGTGTTAGGCTCTAGATAACTGTGATAAAATCAAAGGGAAAAAATTAAACTGATGAACAAGGTATCTTTTTATCAGTACATTGGGCAGTGCTTGCATCCTATAGAGACAGGAACACTCCAAATGACAATCTCATTTTCTCATCCTGCAGTGCAAGTTAGCATTATCATGTCAGTCAATAAATAGTCACCTACATTACTGATTTGTTCCTGAGTCCTCTTCAGTCTCTGTAGCTCAGGAGTGTCTGTGACAATGCTGAAGCCCCTCCCTTTGCTTTCTTCAAAATCTCTTTTGTACTTGACCTAACAGAAAAGGGAAGATGAAAAAGAAAACAGAGGAATCACAAATCCCACTCAGGACAGGACAGGGTCAAAGAAGCTGCTAAAATTGGAAACAATGCCTCCGGACACATCTCTATCAGTAAGCTTATGGGATAAGCTGTGAGGCATGGTCAGTCAGCCTGGCTTGTGTCCCAACTGCACTGACTGACTATGCAACCTTAGAAAAGTTACTTAACCACTCTGTGCCTGGTGTTCTCATCAATAAATCAGTGACAGCAACAACAGTGACACTTAAATAATGCTTTTGAATTGATTGTAAGGATTGGTTCAAATATCTTAATACATATAATTGGCAAGCAAGCAAGTATTCCTGATACTTATTGTCTTCATTAATATTCACACTACTGCTAAGAAAAAAAATGTAGGAAAGAAAGGCAAAACCTTCTGCTCCCATACCTTCTACACCAAAATGGTAACAAGGCATCATTTCGAGGCTAGATAGCACCATGAGGAGAGGGAAGAACAAAACATTCAACAAGCCCCATCCATAGGAAGCTTTTATTCTATTTCATAAGGCAAAGCAGATGGATAAGATTATACAATGCTGTGCTGTCAAATGTCAGGTATGCAAATGCCTATGGAAATAGTTATAAAATAGGCCACACCTAGAGATTAAAAGACTTCAAGCACATGGGCTGGCATACTGTGTACCTAAAATTTGTGTGTGTGCGTGTTGAAATCTACTTCATTTCTAATTACAACCCAGTAAAGCTGAATTTTAGAATTTCCTCAGGGGACTGGAATAGCTAATGCTTAATCTTACTAGCGCCCCATCTCCTATTATTAACATAATGACAATAACTGCCACACCACTTAAATATTCTGCTTATTAATGTCTATGAGAGTTCCATCACTTTGACTGTTCTTATTTCTTTAAAACCTAACTGTCAAGAAATTGAAAAATATATTTTTGATAACTCATATAATCCCTATTTTACATTCATAATTATCAGCCTCAAATAATGCCTAAATTAAGAATTAACAGGGTAGTTAATAAAAGCATGATTCTGCACGTATAACTTTCTGAATCAATTTAAAAAGTTCACTTAGTCTCAATTTGACTGTTTTTGTAGTTAGGTCTATAATTACTCAGTTCTCTCAGACATGATTGTCCCTGAGGCTAGCAGAAGATTTCCCTTTACCAGAAAAGCTTGAAATAAAAATTAAGAAAAAAAAATCCCAGATGAGAACAAATAGATAGGTCCACATGCTCTCGTCACTTTTAGTTTAAAAATCTCTATTTTTTAAGGATATCTAATTTCTTTCCACATTTTCATTTCAATTTATAGAGTTGTTAAAACCCTCTGTTTTACTATTTTCATAAATTAAAGGTCCTAGAAACTACATTATTTTTCTTCCATGGAAAATGTTAGATGAGATCAGCCTTCTATCCCTCAATCCCCAGCATGTGAGAAGATACACACCTCAATACATTCTCTGTGTTTTAGGCTAAGCTGAGCAGGGAAGACATTTAGCTTTGCTCAAAATAAGCACTTAAAATAAGTATGCAAAATGATAAAAGAAAGTTGGTAAGGTTATCACAGCAACCGGCATGAAGAATAAAAAGAAAATCTATAGGCCAAGTTCTGGTACCCGAAGTCCACTTTGAGACAAGGCACAGTCACACCTTCCTTTTGTGATTGGCTGGCTGGTTTGTTTACGTAGTGGTAATTTCCAAGAAAGACGTGAAAAGAAAAACCATTAAATTCCAGAACCCTACAGTTTGACTTGATTGTTGCTCAACAGTTTTTTCTACAGTCACAAGATACATAAGAATCATCTGAGTGAGGTGCCTGGTTAAATGACTATTTTGAAGAATATACAATCATCTCCATAAGTGGGCTTTGCAGTTTTATCAGTTGTTTATTCCTTTTTAATGGTGCAATCCACAACCATGCCTCATATACTCTCAGTACCAGCATGAGCACCCATCGACCTGGCTATGCACACTGAATGCCCTTTTCTTTTCCATACTCTACATGCCATCTCTCTACTGTCACTCTTAGGCCAAATGTTAAGCATTATGTCTGACGGTTGGCCAGTCATGCATAGACTGACTTTGAGAGGCAAGCAGATATAGGAGAGCAGAGGGCATAGGGAAGTCATAGGATTGACTTCCACTCTCTTCAGTCACATGTCTCTTGATTGCCCTCACTATAGAACCATAAACCCAACAGAATGGGGCAGGAAGGACACAGGAGAGGGGAGTATGGAATGAAGGCAGCACCATGGTTCAGAAAGAGGAAGGCTGCATCTGGAGAGTGATGTGGTTTTCACTCCTTATAGGTGCAGCCCATTAAAACTACATAAAGATGTTCTGAAAATCATTTTTAAAGTCAATGTACACAGTAGGCAGACTGAGTTGCTATTTTTTTCCTTTGGGAGAAATAAAAATGTCTTTCAAATACTGAATGTTACATAATAGTGATATTAAATATAGGTCTGTGTATATTCATGCTTACATATGCACACACAGCAAACAAACACACACATTTTTCTTCTACAGATTAGAACACTAAATCAAGAATGAAAAGATCCCTACCTCATTCATTTATGGGTGCATGGATTCCTTGCCTTTTTTCTACTTTCAAATGTTTGAGACTTATCCATATGGACCATTGTAGCTATTGTTTTCACTCCTGGGTAATATTACATTGCATGGATATACAATAGTTTATTTATTCTCCCATGGAGGTGGATTATTTAGATCGTTTCCAATATTTTTGATAAAACAAAAAATGTTATTATGAACATGTCCAACCATGTCCCAGAAGCTCATGGTTGAGGTGTGTTTGCAAAGGATTCACTTGGGAATGGAGATCTGAGCTGTAGGATGTGCTCATCTACAACTTCACTACTGACTCACTTAAGCTCCTTTCAACTTTTTGTTCAATAGTTCGCCAGTCCACTTGGTTTCTTTCTTCAGAAATAGCTTTCTAAGAATGGCCTGTCTCAGGCACTCTTTGGTGGCACAAAGTGTTAAAGCGCAGCACTATGGAACTACCCACAGCCACTACAGCATGAGTTCTATTTCCGGCCAGGGAGTTGACCCACATGGCATGGCACACCCCACTGCACCCCTCAGCAGTGTACTTCATTGTTCTGTTGTTCTGCCTGTTCTGCTCCCCACTCCGTCTCTAGTGAATCCTTTCACCTTCCCACATCTCTGTTCTATACCCCAGTTCTTGTATTCATAAATAAATCTTTACAAAAAAAAAAAAAAAGAATGATCTGTCTCATTAGTATTTTAGGTTGTCATCATTGTCATCGTAATTATGATACTTATAGCATTTGGGACAGAGAACTTACATCTCAGAATTAGCAAATAATTCAGTTTGCTCTCTGTTCATTACATTTACACATTAGAGTGGAGAGGCCATTCATATGGAGTGGAGAGGCCATTCATATGGATACATGGGGAGCTTTAGTGAAAACTGATGTTTAGTTTCTTAAATGGGAAGGTGGTCATGCATGATCCTTTTACTAGCATACTGTGTGTTATTTATTCCTTTTTATTGATCAATTAATTATTTTACAATAAGACATTTTAAAGGAAAGCAAGGAGAGAGTTTCAAGACCCCAGATGAAGAGAGTGAAGATACCAGGGATTAAACAAAAATCTTAAGTAGAAAAATGAAGAAATAAGCATGAGAACCAGGAATTCAGTTGCTATTTTCCATGAGTTCAAAGACAAGAATTGAGTTTTTCATAAATGTCAAATGAGAATTACTCTAAGTTTCTTCATCTTGAAAAACTATATTGGTAAAGATTGAATTGATACAAAAGGCAGAAAAAGTAGAAATCGATAGTGTGGAAATGTGTTGCACAGGGATCCCAATTTGAATTAATGAGGAATAGTGGTAGTAAAAAGGGGTGCTTAGCCCATTGCAATAGACCAAGTGGCTAAAAGGAAGCCAGGAGCAGAAAGGCAAGCAAAAGAAGAACATTACTTAGCCGCAAAACTAGCTTTTCAGACTATATTTAATGATAGCTTGAAATGATTGGGCATATTACAGACTCGTGTTATTCTGCTCTTTATTCCACACATTTAAGTCTTCGTGTAATTCAATGAAATCAATGACCAATGCTATCTTACATGACATGATGAATACCTTACATTTCCTCAAGGGGAAAATGTAAGGGTTACATCATTTTTAAACTACATGCAAAATTCTTAGTTTGATCTGCAAAACTTAGCACTTAACTATGCATTAGCTTAGATAGTTCAGTGGATTTTAAATTACTGGAGAATATGGACTTCTTGCGAAGTCACTGCACTTTGCTTGGTACTAACCAGATTTTAAAAGCTTAATGTCTATTTCATGACTGATTATTATCCAGTTTTACATTTTTTAATCTAAAAACATAAAATTAACTAATCTCACAATGCTGGAGGGGAATTAAACAACTACAAAGGGAAATCTGATTAACAACATTTTTAAAGGTGACATCCATTTTAACAAATGTTAACTCAAATGAGATGAAAAGCAAATTAGCTTTTTTGTAAATTAATCTCATAATTTGTAAATTTATGGTTAATTAAATAAAATTAAAATTTTAATTACCTCTTTAAATATAATTAAAAAGCATTTAAAATGATTTTCATAGATCTTTTAGCCTTAAATTGGCTTTCCACTACATTCACATAGGTACTTATCATTATTTACAGATTTGTTAGTTTTCTGAGTACACTCACAAACAAACTACATCAAATTTGGAATTCCTTTGCTTAAAAACATTTGATGTTTAAATTTTATCCTAAACAAATACTTGGAATACTAGTAATTAAGATCTCAAGAAAATACTTAAAGATTAACCTTAAGACACTAAAGTGTAGCTTAGTAGTTAACAGGTCAAGTTCAACAATTTGGCAAATCGCTTATTAGCTGTGTGACCTTAGGCAAATTAATTGATCACTCTGGACCTGTTTCCTCATGTACAAAATAAGCATCACTGTGGTA